CTCTGCAGCTCCCCAGCAGCCAGAGTAATGGCAGCTTTACTGCAGCCTTGTGAGCCAGAGCTCCAAACCTGTCCCTTCCATATACAGGACGGCGCTGCGAGACCTGTGAAGATGGCTTTTTTGGGGATCCTCTAGGACTCTCTGGAGCCCCCCAGCCCTGCCACCAGTGCCAGTGCAGTGGGAACGTGGATCTCAACGCTGTCGGCAACTGTGATCCCCATTCTGGCCACTGTTTGCGCTGCCTATACAACACAACAGGGGCCCACTGTGAGCATTGTCTGGATGGTTTCTATGGGAGTGCCTTGGCCACCAGGCCCGAGGACAAATGTGCTCGTGAGTACCCAATGCCCAGGCCCATGAGTAAGGCGTGGGAGCCACTGTCCTCAACCCTCATTCAGTACCCACACAGGATGGCTGAGAGAGCCACCATACCAGCTGGCCCTCTGCTAGACTGGTCAGCCTTAGATAGGTTTCTTGCCTTCTCTGTTCTCTAAAAAGCATCAGGGTTTGTTCTTCCCCGAGGCCCCTTTAGTCCTGACATCTCATAAGCTCTGATCCCACAGTTTCACCCTGCATCGATAATTCAGCACTTTTCTCAGATCTACCCTTAGCACATAAGGCTGATGCAAGGATAACAAGGCCACGACTCTCCCTCATGTGTTCCCCTCTCCCTACCTGGGTTGTATTCTGCCTCATGCATGTTGAAAGGCCATAGCCTGCATCTGCCTGAATTGGGCTCCTGGAAGTCCTGCATCAGAGCAACCCAGCTTTCACCCCATCCAATGTTCTCAGAGCCCCTTCCACATGGTACCATCCACACCTCACTGTCCCTGTGTGGAGCCCTCTCCAGGAAACCCCACTCTGGCATCGAGAAGGATGCTGCACTGTGGTTCCCGGAAGAGCAGAAGTGTGTGGATCCAAATAGGGCTGCCAGGCTCTGCCTGTGGTCTTTGACCACACCTCTGAAGCTCTCTCCAGCTTGCAGGCTTGAGACAGACTCGGGGAGGGGCCGTCTACACCCCCACTCTTCTGGACTGGCTCACCAAGGACATAGCAAATGAGCTGAGACCTGAGCTTGACCCTCAAGCCTTTTCCAGGAGGTTCTCAGGAACCTGGCCTGTGTGACAGTCATCTCTGGGGATCCTTTGGCTTCTCAGCTTCTGCCTGTACCCCTAAAGTTTAAGCAAATGATTCTAACACCCTTTCCTGAAACCCAGCCTGCAGCTGTGACCTGAGGGGCTCAGCCAGTAAGAAGACACCCTGCAACCCAGTGACTGGTCAGTGTGCCTGTCTGCCTCATGTCACCGGGAGGGACTGCAGCCACTGCAGCCCTGGCTTCTATGATCTCCAGTCTGGGAGGGGCTGCCAGAGGTAGGGATGAGGCTGTGAGTGCCCTGGGAGGGACTGCCAAAGGTAGAGGGTGAGGCTCCGAGTGTCCTGGGTATCTTGCCTGGGGGAAGAGGGCACCATGGAGCCTCAGGGATGGGCTCGGTCTGAATTGTGTCATCCAGGCCCATTTCCATGTTCACTGGGCCCTCCACCAGAGGGCACAAAAGCTCAGTCTCTTGGTATCAGATACCTGGCTATGCCAGTCTCAGAGGGCTAGGCAGGTAGGCAGGTGACTGGTTTGGTCTGATTCTCATCTCAGTGACAACTATCACTGGGTGACTTTTTGACCACAGCAGCATCTGAGATGGATGTCTCGGCCTCAGAGAAAGACTCTGGGGAAGACTGAAGGAAGTGAACGAACTTCTTTGTGTGGCTCCCGGAGCCTTTAGTGTGAATTTTACAGCGACTTCCCAGCTACGCCAGTGCTTCCTCAGAGAAAGACTCTGGGGAAGACTGAAGGAAGTGAACGAACTTCCTTGTGTGGCTCCTGGAGCCTTTAGTGTGAATTTTACAGCGACTTCCCAGCTACGCCAGTGCTTTTTTTCTCCAGTGTCCTATGTGACTTGTGCTATCCTGGGCACAGGCAACTGTCAGAGGCTGAGTTAAGGGGTGGCCTCATCAACCCTCATACTTGCTTCTTGTTGCAGCTGCAAATGCCACCCACTCGGCTCCTTGGAGAACAAGTGTCATCCCAAGACTGGTCAGTGCCCCTGCCGACCTGGTGTCACAGGCCAATCCTGTGACAGATGCCAGCTGGGTTTCTTTGGCTTCTCCATCAAGGGCTGCCGAGGTGAGCAGGCTGGATCCTAGCGGGTCATGGTGGGGGCTGAGGTTCTCTGCTAGAGACAACCCGTGAGAAGCAGGTATGGTGGGGGAGATGATGGGTAGATGCTGGTTGGTTTCCTAACCCTGGCCTTGAGAATGTGGAGTGCATGAGTGTGAGGAACTGGGTGTCCTAGTGGCACCTCTAATGCGACCACTGAACTCTTGTATGTCTTTAGACATCATGTCACATGTAAAACACAGTTTTCTCACTGTGCATCTAGTACTTGGCAATACTGGGTCACTGGGAACATTGCAGCAAGTGAGGCTCAAGGTTTGGTTGCCAACTCCAACCATCTAGTCAATCTCTGTCATGGAGCCCCGGTGTCTGTATTTAAGGACATTCAGGGGTTGTAGGAATTTCCAAGAGGGGCATGAGGATTCGGGATGGGAGATGAGTCTGAGGTCATCATCAGGTCCCCAGAGCTGGCTCCTGTCCTCCAGACTGTAGGTGCTCCCCACTGGGTGCTGTCTCATCTCAGTGCCATGAGAACAGTACATGTGTGTGCCGCCCAGGCTTCGTGGGCTACAAGTGTGACCGCTGCCAGGACAACTTCTTCCTCTTGGATGGTGACACAGGGTGCCAGGAGTGTCCCACCTGCTATGCTCTGGTGAAGGAGGAGGTAAGTTGCTATGCTGAGACTTTCCCACCTTCGGGTTCATTTCACACCTCCAGGGAACACCAGCTCCTTGCAATGGACCAGAAACTGCCTGGTCATTCACAGACCTCAAGCCTTACGTTCCCACTGGCCACCTTCTCCTGGATAGCTTCCTCATTCCAATCCACCTAATCTTCACCTGTCCTCCTGTCCTGGATGAGCCAGAGGTGGCTCTTGTCACATCCCTTCCCAGCCTCCCAGGGCCAAGGTCTCATACTCGTATAGCTCTGTGGGGATAGGATGACAGGCAACAGACTGCATTTAAAGCAGGGAGTGGGTAGGATTGAAGTTAGGAGTTGGAGCCTGAGAGACCCCAGGCAGAGGGCATTTTTGTAAACTTTAATGTCCTACTCCAGAATAGATAGTTCAAACCTTCCAACCTTCTGGACACAGTGGGGCTCTGAGAACATATGGTGCTGTAGGACAAAGTGGCATGTCCTGAGCTCCAGCTATGAGCCCACGGGGCAAGCAGGCCAGGCCCGTAAGCAAGGCCATTTTCAGTTCTTCAGGACAGCATGCACTTTGCACCACTAGGTAAATCAAGCTACCACATGGCCTCCTGCTTCCTGGAACACTTTTTCCTTCTAGATGAGCTCACAGTCCATTTGTCATTGAGAAAGGCATGGAAAGTTTAGAGTCTGTCGTTGCACTGGGGACTTTGGATCTAAGGATGGAGTGTTGTGCGATGTTTCACTCTTTTGCCTTTTGGGGGGCTCACCAGCCAGCTCCTAATAACTCACACATGGAGGCTTATTCTTAGTTGTGAATACCCAACCTTAACTTAGCTTGTTGCTTGCAGGCTTTTCTTAACTAATTATTCCCAACTACCTTTTGTCTCTGGGCTTTTATCTTTCTTACTTCTGTATATCTTACTTTCCTTCTTACTCTGTGATTGGCTGGCTAGCTGGCTGGCCCCAGATGTCCTCCTCTCCTTCTTCTTGCTCTTGGTCCTCTTTTTTGTTTCTCCTTCTATTTATTCTCTCTGCCTGCCAGCCCTGCCTATCCTTTCCTGCCGTGCTATTGGATGTTCAGCTCTTTATTAGACCATGAGGTGTTTTAGACAGGCAAAGAATCACAGCTTCACTGAGTTAAACAAATGCAGCATAAACAAGTCACACATCTAATAATGTTCTACCACAACGGAGCCTGGGATATGGCCCTCTGCTTAGTGTGGTTGAAAGAGAACTGAGCCATAGCAGACAGTCATGTCATGCCTGGCTGCTGATACACACACCATCTGCCTCTGGCTCCTGAGTCCTGGGATTAAAGGTGTGTGCTACCACTGCCCAGCTTCTAAGGCTGTGGCTAGGTTTGCACTCTGATCCTTTAGGCAAGCTTTATGAAATCATAAATAATATATCACCACAGAAGCCCTATCTTGAAAAACAAAACAAAAACAAACTAACTAAAAATAGCAAAGTGAGTGGTATCTAAACAGGAACAACTTTCAAGGTTGACCTCTGACCTCCAACACATGCATCTCCCCACACAAACATGTACACATATGTACACGTACACTTACACACACCAACTTTCATGGGGTTCCTTTTCTCTCTTTGTCCTTCCCTCAGTAGGGCAAGGGTGTGGCTGGCACGGTGTCAGCAGGTTCTAGGCTGTGAGAAGGGAAGGAGTTGGTGAAGCTGGGCAGGCAAGATGGGTCCTCGGGGTTAGCACTAAGACACTTTGTAGGATTGGAAGGGGAGAACCCGTGGAAGGGCTGGACCAGGCAGAAGCCAAGGGCAACTCCTAGCACCTAGAGATCCCAGCCTCTTACAGTTTTCCTTCCCAATTGTCCCCGACAGGCAGCCAAGCTGAAGGCCAGGCTGATACTGATGGAAGGGTGGTTGCAGGGGTCCGATTGTGGCAGCCCCTGGGGACCACTAGACATTCTGCAGGGAGAAGCCCCTCGGGGGGATGTCTACCAAGATCACCACCTACTTCAAGGTACAGAGAACTGCAGAATGGGAGGCGAGAGAGCTGGTAGAGCCTGGGCTGGTTGGATACTTTGGGAGCTCTACGGATGGTCATGACACTCCACAGGCCTATCCACCTATGTACCTAGCCCATCTATAACAATATTAGCATGGGTCTCTGTTCCCTGCCTCCTGCCCTGCACTGACTAAAAGCTCAAAGCAAACCTGGTCTGGGCTCATTCATTTAACTATTTAACCACACCCTCTGCAAGCCTGGGGCGCTGTTCCAGGTGCTGAACGGGTGGAGTCCTCTGGGGTTTTGGCTCTTGGCCTGTTTGATTGCTGCCATGTTTCCAGGCTGTGTTTGGCACATTGAAAAAAAAAATAGTAATTAAGAAAAGCAGACCTGTCATTAAGCCAGGTGAAATGTGTGACCTTGAGATACAGAAAATTTCCAGAATGTTGAGACTGGGTTGATTACTTTGTACAGCTGTGCTTCAGCAGCTGGCTAAAGGTGACCCAAGTACCAGTGATGAGCCATCAAATGAGGTGGCCCCATGTGAGCCTCAGTGAGATTCACAGCATTGAACTGAGTTGGGGGTCCACTGCCAGCCCAGTGGTTCCAGAGGGCCTGCTTCCAAGTACTTGTTAGTAGCTGATTGGCTACAAGTCCTGATTTGCTTTCTCTGGGCCTCAACCATTGCAGCTGTAATATGAGCAAGTTTCTCCTTTGGTGTAATGGAGGCAGGGATCAGAGTAGCACTCTGGGAGTTGCAGCTGTGTCCAGGCAAATAGAGATCTCAGATGGAAGCCTGGGTAAGGGGACTTTTTTGTGGAATCTCAATCAGTGATGATCGCTGATTCACTGGCTTCCCACAGAGACCCGGGAAGTCTTTCTGGAGCAGCTGGTGGGCCTGGAAGGTGCCATGAAGGCCTCTTGGGAGCAGTTGCAGGTGCTGAGAGGGAGTACCCGCTGTGCCCAGCCTGGAGCTCAGAAGACCTGTGTCCAGCTGACAGAGCTGGGAGAGACATTGCAGTCCTCAGAGGAGGAGGTCCTGCGTGCAGCCTCAGCTCTTTCATTTCTGGTACTGTGGTCTCCTCCAACGCTGCTTCCCCTGGAGCCTGTGTAGGAGTCTTTGCCCCCGCCCTGCTGCTCTTAACCAATTGCCCGTGGTGTGGTCTATACTTTAAAGGATGCTTGGTGTCACCTTCAGAATGGGCCATACTGAGTCTCCTCTACTAACAGGGAAAGACACTATTTGCAAAAGGCAAATATATCTGAGTAGACAGTGAATACACATGGCAGGCAGTGTCACTGGGTTTCTTGTGTGCGGGAAAGCTGCTCCCCAAGAGCTGGTGTCACGGTTGGCTTTGTGAATTTATAAAATTATTGACACCATTTTATTCTACCCAGTCAGCTAGCCAGCTGTAACCCTTGACCTTCCAGGATGAGCCTCAGTTTCTTCCTCTGTTCTTTAAGGTGAGTCTTCAGGAAGGATCCAGCCCACCCACCAATTGGAGCCATCTGGCATCAGAGGCCCATATCCTTGCCAGTAGGTGAGCCCCGAGGCTTCAGGATGTGGGGGACAATGCCCATACCGTTGACAGTGGGGCCAGGTCTTCTTGGACAGGCTCCAGAGTCAGGGTTAGCCTCTGGGATTTAGGACCCGATGAGCCCAAGAGCTGCTCAGTGTGGAGTAAATGTTGCCAGCACTGGAGGGGGTTGGGTGGAGTGAGGATGAAGATGCAGACATGTGGGGCAAGCTTGCTCAATTGAATGAGCCCACAAGTTTAGCTCAGTGTGGAGTAAATGTTGCCAGCACAGGAGGGGGTTGGGTGGAGTGAGGATGAGGATGCAGACATGTGGGGCAAGCTTGCTCAATTGAATGAGCCCACAAGTTTATTAAGATGTAATTCCTGGGGCCTGGGGAAATAAATGGCTTAGTCAGGAAAGTGCTCATCACACAGACGTGAGGACCAGAGTTCAATCCCCAGTTCAAAGCAGGGTGTGGTGGCACTGGCTTGTAATCTCAGCTCTAACGATACAGAGAGGACAATCCTGGGAGCACCTGGCCAGCCAGCTCAGCCTAGGAGAGACCCTGTCTCTCCCCACTGCCCAAGGCAAAAGAGTTTCTCTGTGTAGCCCTGGCTGTCCTGGAACTCAGTCTATAGACCAGGCTGGCCTAGAACTCAAACTGTTCTACTTACCTCTTCCTCCTGAGTACTGGAAATAAAAGCATGTGCCACCACGCCCCTGAGAGACTCTGTCTTAAAGAAGGTGAAGCCCAGTAGTGGAGGCTAGCCTGGTCTATAAGAGCGAGTTCCAGGACAGCCGGTGCTATGCAGAGAAACCCTGTCTCAAAGAAAAAAATAAAAATAACCCCCCAAAAAAACAATAACAACAAAACTAAATAAGATGGAGGGACGGGGAGAAGGCTCAGCATTTAAGAGCACTGGCTGCTCTTCCAGAGGAGCGTGGGGTCTCCAAAAAAAACAATAACAACAAAACTAAATAAGGTGGAGGGACGGGGAGACGGCTCAGCATTTAAGAGCACTGGCTGCTCTTCCAGAGGAGCGTGGGGTCTATTCTCAGCCCCTCATGGTGACTCACAATCTCCTGTGACTCCAGCTCCAGGCGATCCGATGCCCTCTTCTGGCCTCCACAGGCACTGCACACATGGTGCAATCTAAACATAAAGGCAAAATACTCAAATACATAAAATAAAAAGAAATAAAATCTTGCCAGGTGTGGTAGAATACACCTTTAATCCCAGCATTCAGGAGGCAGAGGCAGGGAGATCTCTGAGTCCAAGGCCAGTCTGACCTACAAAGCAAGTTCCAGGACAGCCTAGGCCACACAGAGAAAACCTATCTCAAAAAAACCATAACAGTAGTATTAATAATAACAATAATGGTAATAATTAACCTTAAATAACCTTAAACAGGGCGGACAGATCCTGAAGCCACCACACCTGAGGTTGACCTCTGACTTCACACACACACACACACACACACACACACACACACACACACACTGAATAAATTATAACTCATATACTTTGTAGTTCAGTATCTCATTGTATCCTGAGACACATGACTATGAGATGTAAACTTAGAACATTTTTATCATTCCCCAAGTAAACCCTGAATACAGTTTTCATCTTCCCTCATTTCTCTACAACCTCTCCAACCACTCCTAGCAACTAATAATCGACTTTCCATCTCTATGGATTTGCTAATTTAGGACATTTCATGTAGGTGGGATCATAGAACACGTGGCCACCACTTTGGCAAGTTTTCAGGGTTCAATCACGTTATAGCACAGGTCAGTTCTCCATTCCTTTGTATGATTATATAATGATCTAGCATTGGTCATGGGGGCAGTAGTGGTGACACATCTTTGTGTGTACGCAGGCCAGACAGCCTGGGGTGTCATTTCTTAAGTGACATGCAGTTATGGGGGGCTGGAGCTCACCAATTAGGCTAACAGGATGGCCAGCAAGTCCCAAGGCTCCATCTCTCTTCCTTCCTGGGACTGGGATTACAAGTCTATGTCACTGTACCCAGCTTTTTATATGGGTGCTGGAATCAAACTTGGACCTCATGCTTGCAAGGCAAGCATTTTGCTGACTGAGCTGTCTCCCCAACCTTGTGTTTAGGTCATTTTTTCTGCTTCCTGTAGAAAACAACTTATGATCCTAAACACATAGAATCCATAGTAATTTTTATCTTTTAAAAAATTTTAGGTTTATTTATTTTACATGTATGACTATTTGCCTGCAAGTATGTATGTATGTGCATCACACAATTGTCCTCTATTTATTTATTTATGTTTGGGTTTTTTTTGATATTTCAAGACAGCATCTCTCTGTGTAGCCCTGGCTGTTCTGGAACTCTCTCTATAGACCAGGCTGTCTTTGAACTCAGAGATCCACCTGCCTCTTCCTCCCGAGTGCTAGGATTAAAGGTGTGTGCCACCATGCCCAGCACATTTTCCTCCTTTAAAAAAACAACATATTTATTGGGGGCTGGAGTGATGGCTCAGTGGTTAAGAGCACACATTGCTCTTCCAGAGGACCTGAGTTCAGATCCTACCACCCACATTGGGTAGCTCACAACCTCCTGTAACTCCAGCCCTAAGGAATCTGACTCCCTCTTCTCCACCTCTGAGGGCACCTGAACTCACATGCACACAGACACACATGCATGCTTATAACTTAAAAATAAATAAGAAACATTAAAGCACATAATAAACCCACCCATGGGTGCTAGAAGGTGTAGGATCCATGGAGTTGGAGTCTCAGGCAGGTGTGAGCAGACCCATGGGCCCATGGGCCCTGAGAACTGAACTCTGTGTTGTGCAAGAGCCATTTCTCTAAGCCCAGTTTCCCTCTTCAGCTTGAGGGACTAAACTCATTTTAGAGATGAGGAGACAGATGCAGAGAATCCATTGACTCACTCACGGACACACTGCTTGGAAGTGACAGAGCCAGGGCTCAATCCCAGGCTGGCTTGTCCACTCTTGCTGTGATGTCCATTTGAGAGGCCGTGTGGTGAAAGGCCTGGGCTAGTCCTTGTGCCAGGACCACAGGTGTAACTGACGTGTGACGGGGGCACTGTCACTAATGCTGCAGAGGCAGATGGGTGGAGAGTAGTCTGTCCTGCCAGAGACCCATGAAGCAGGAATCTGGGCACCACCACCTCTGTGTGTGCTCTTAGTGACTCCTATGCCAATTCACATAGTCACAGGGACACAGCCACCAAGATCGAAGCCGCTGCACGAAGAGCCCTGCTTGCCTCCAACACCAGCCATGAGTGCCTGTGGGACCTGCTGAGAGGGAGGGAGGCCTTGGCAGCCCAGCAGGAACTGGAGGACAGGTAAGGCATCCACAGGTGTGTGGAAAACCTTGGGCTCAGCTTCCAGGAGCCCATAGGAACCAGCCAGAGGCCACTGCTTACAGAACCAGCTCGCTGGGCCTACGCTTTTCAGAGTGTCTTGTAGGAGTGAGGCTGTGACAGAAGAGGTAGACAAAAACTGAACCCCAGGGTAGCTGATCTCTGTCCCTGCACCATTTCCTGAGTGTGTTCTGTCAGGTGCAGGGTGGCATCTTGGCTCTCTTGTTGCTGCTCCCTGGTACAGCTTCCTTCCTTGCCTCTGGAGGCCAGGCATCTGGGCATCTCTGTTCAGCCTTGAGCTAGACGGCATGGTAGAATGAAGTCATGTGGCCCACTTCCTAGAGCTGACTGCTATATAGCAGTCACTCAGCTCAAGGGGTCTCCATTTGTCAGTGGAGAGTAACACACAGTGTTAATTATCCTTCTTGCTGTGACAAACTACCCAGTACGATTTAAAGGACAGGTTCATTCTGCTCACAGATTGAGAGATTCTTTTGCCATGGTGAGGGAGACATTGCTCCTGGGGCTTGGGTTACAGCCTGTGCCCCAACAAAGCCAGGTTCAGCCACCTATCCTTGCTAAGCCAATTAAAAGTCTACAATAATAATGAAAAGCAGAAAAAAAAAGATTTATCAATGTGGCTACACTGGAAAGAGGGACAAAGATATCTAGCAGGGAACTCCTCACTGTCCCCGTCAGTCCATCTTTGGGTCCTAATGAGAGGATAATGTTTAATCACTCCTGGTCAAGGTGTGGCCCTGTCCATCATTGTTCCAGCTCCTTTTCCTTTTCCTTTGATCTTTGGGGGGAAAAGATCCCCCTCTGGCTGGTTCGGGCTGTAGGCTCTCCCTTCTGCATGGTTTGGGCTGTAGGCTCTTCCCTCTGGATGGTTCAGACTGTAGACTTGCTCCTCTCCAAGCACTGGACTCCTGAGGGAATTCTTATTCCTGGGGCCCACAGCTTCAGTAGTCTGATAATAAAGTGAGGGACATGACAGGCTCAGAATATCTTCATCTCTGTTGGGCCACACATAACATGACTTCACGCAGGAAAGACATGGGGGCAGGAACAGGAAGTGGGTCACATTGCATCTATAGTCAAGAAGCAGAGAGTGAACAGGAAGTGGGTCAGGCTATAAAGCCCCAAGGCCCTCCCCTGAGTGACCTACTTCTTCCAGCAAGGTTCCATTTACTAGAGATTCCACAAACTTTCCAATGCCACTACCTGAGGATTAAGTGTTCAAACACATGAGCTTATGGGGGTTATTTCACATGCAAACAGGAACATATGCCACAGGTCAGCAGCAAGGACATGGTCAATCAAGATCACAGCCCAGGCAGCTGTCCTTCCATCCCAGGGAGCTTCCTCTGCAGCTTTCCAAGACGACACAAAGGTCTGCACAATGTGTGATTCTCGGGTGCACAGTAGCCTGGAGCCTGGGCTAAGTGGTGTGCCCAAACTGAATAAGGAGATTGGAGAGATGGCTCAGCTGTCAAGAGCACTTAGTGCTCTTGTAGAGAACCCAAGTTCAGTTTCCAGCACCCACATTAGGTGGCTCACAACTGCCTGTAACTCCAGCTCCAGGGGATATGATACTTCTTGCTTCCCTGGATGTCTGAACTCACAGGCAAGCAAACACACACACACACACACACACACACACACACACACACACACACACACCCAGAAAGCTGACGATCATAGCCATTTTTCCAGGCCAGCTACTAGGTCCTGACCTGCACAGGTTGAGTCTGCCAGGAGATGGGAGAGGGCTTTTCAGGTTAACACCTCCAGCCAGAAGCTTTGATAGAGATGGAGAGGGGTGTCCAACACCTGTTCTGTTCTATGGCTCATCCTGATCTCTTTCCTCCCAGGTACCAGGAGGTGCAGGCAGCACACACTGCCCTCGGCACAGCTGTGGCAGAGGTGCTGCCCAAAGCTAAGAGGGCACTGACCACTGTGAAGCAAGTCACTGGTGACGCTGCCCTACGTCTGTTGTCACTGGTCACCCCTGGAGCAATGGTCAGTCCAGTGTCCGTGGAGTTCCTCATGGGGTGGTGGCGAAGGTTCTAGATTATGGAGAAACCAGAGAGCCAGGCAGAGGTGGGCAGGGCTTCTTGTTAGCTGGGAAGTGGCCTACTGAAACAGGCAGGGCTCATCCAGTCTTCCACTCCAAGGCTGGAACCGTGACATGAACAAGGACATCAGAGGAATGGGGGCGATACACATCCCAGTTCCTATGCCAACAGTGACCTTGACCAAGGATTTCCCTCCTTGAGTTTCAGCCGCCTGTGACCCTCTGTCTTGCAGAATCAGCCTCCTCTAGCTAAATTTTATAGGTGGGAGCTGGAGGGGATCTAGTGAGTCCTTCATTCGACACTCATCACGACTCCACACCCTGCCCATTTTGTCTATTGGGTTATCCTGAGATCTCCAGCCTCAGAAACCCAGCTTTACCAGAACGCTAAGCTGGCTCTTCATGCAGCTCACGGGGAGAGTGTGTGTCAGGCATGCTCAAGGTTCTAGGTTCCACCCTCAACATCAAGGAAATCTATCCAAATGCATTTGGGACACAGGCTGCCTGAGGCTACTGCCTCATGGTTTCCCCTGCTCTCCTCAGATACCAATGAGGGCTTGGAATCAAACCCAGTTCTGCCTTTCTAGCATCTGGAACACTGCATTCTGAAGCATGTGGGTGGTGGAAGAACTGTGGACCTAGGGAGGGGACTTCACCTTGCAAGGAAGAAAGGCAGTCATACCTGTGGGTCAGAACAATTAGCTGGAGTTGCAGAGCTAGAAATTGGTGGTGCTGTGGTCTGAGCCTCCAGTGACAGGTTCCCCCAGCCTGGTGGCTCTGCAACCCCTCCTTCTGCCACTGCCCTGCTCCTGAGGTATCTGAAGTTCCTGGGACAGCAGAAAGCACTCTGCGACCAGGGTTCAAGCTCCAGTTCTGGCTGGTCCCCAGTGCAGCAGGGCACAGGCTGACCCTCGGCACAACAGGGCACTTTTCCCTGGACAGAGGATCTGGTTCTCAGCCAGACCTGAGCCCACCATCTCCTTGCACCTTCAGAACTCCCAAGCCAGAAATCTGGACTGGAAAGTGAAGGCCCTGGAGCAGAAGCTGGCTCAGAAGGAGTGCCAGGCAGTCCAGGCTGTAGGAGCCCTGCAGGCGGAGGCTGGGGCAGCCCTGAAGAAAATGGAGCCCTTCATGCAGGTCAGTTTTGAATCTGGAACTTGGAAGAGGGAGGGGCTGCCCCCAAGGAAACATGGGGTATGGGGGTGCAAAGATGGAAAATAACATTTACAAAACACTTTCAAGTTCTAGTGCCTCCCTCAAAATGCCTGAGAGTTTTAAAGGTGCCAAGCCAAAGGGAGGGAAGTCTGCTTGCTTAGAAGAGAGTAAAGAGGTAGAGGGAAAGAGGATGGACAGACAAACAGGTAGGCAGGTGGATGATAGAAGCCGTATCCATGCACTCTCTCGGGGTTAGTCACAAGTGAATGGCTCTTGTGTCTCCTCCTTCCTTCTGCCCTTAGACACCCCGAGTTCAGAGGCACCCACTCTGAGCAGCCCATGGGACTCAAAGTCACGGAGCCTGGTGTTCAGCCCAGAGAGATAGCACTAAATCAGGGTGTCTTAGAATGACGGTTTAACTAGAACCAGCCTGCTAACATAGAGAAGACTCATTTAGAAATAACTGCATTTTTCTTGGGGGATAATTTCAGGCTTATGGGGAGGTTCTATGGACAGCACCCAAAGTTCTCACACCCTTCCCACAGGGCCATTTGATGTTGGTGTTTTAGCCAGCCACAGGGCAGGTACCAAACTCAGGAGAGCAACATACCACCACCACCCAGGGACCCAGCTCACTGACCTGACTCAGAACCCCCACAATGGTGGTAATGGCTTCCCCAGAGGCCCCTCAGCTTCCACACAAACCCAGGAGACAAGGAAATATTTTTGAGGAAAAAGGACATACCAGAGGATTGGACCCAGGGCCTAGCACGTACCTAGGTGAGCCTTGCTGTATTGAGACCCCACTTAGTGTCCTCTGACCTGATCCACACTCCCATCTAGAGTGAGGAAGCCAGGAAGGGAGGCAGCCTTCACAGCCCTTCTGGGAGCTGAGCCCTGTGAAGGCTAGACCCCCCACCACCTGCAGATGCTCCACTCCCCAAAACCCTCAGAGCCCTGCCTCCCCCCTACCCTGCTCCCCCAGCCTCAGGAGCTTCCCTGGTCCTTCAAGCCTATGTTGTTGTTTATTTGTAGCAAATCATACAAGAAACCATTTTTGTTTTCAGCCTCAAACATTTTATTACTGAGATTCCACTTAGGAACTTCCAGCAGCAGCAAGTTAAATAAATATTTATCTATGCCAAGAAGACACAGTGAAACATAAAGCTTGCTTTAAGTGCCCCACCACCCAGGCCTATGCCCCCTCACCCGGATAAAGCTTTATATTTGAGCTGTACAAACACACTTTAGAGTTTGGAAATGAAAACATACTTCCACCTCATGGGACAATTTTCCAGGTTTCAGTGACATTTAACACATTCACCTTGCTGTCCCACCTTCTCCTCTCTAGATCTTGAACATTTCATTCCTCCTGAAGTAACCGCAGGAGCCTGTACCTTAGGCAGTGCCTCCACTCCTCCTGAACACCCTTCCACTGTGTCTCTACTCATGTGAGAGCCCATGCCATGGAACACCTGTGACGGTCAGAGGACAACTCTCTGAGTTTTTACTTTTTTCTGACATGTGGGTCCTGAGGATCCAACTCTGATTTGTCAGCCCTGGCCGCAAACGCCTTTACCCACTGAGCCATCTTGCAGGCCCTGTGCTCTTTAACCTGGACACTCACAGGAACCAAGTTCCCTTTTATTTTTTATCATACATTTATTTAATTGTGTCTCTGTGCATGGGTGGGGGCACACATTTACTTCAACGTGAGTTCGGAGGTCAGAGGACAACTGTGGAAGCCTGTTCTCTCTTCTGCCATGTGAGTCCCAGAGACTGAATTCAGATCTTCAGGCTTGGAGACAAATGCCTTTACCCACTGAGCCATCTAGCCAGCCCAAGTTCTTTCTTTAAAAAAACTTCTTATTTGCATATATTAATTACACCTAACAGGTGTTTCATTATGACAACTTCATGCATGTGACACGATTATTTCAATCATATTTCCCGTTACCCGCTCCTGACTTATCTTCCCATCTAGTTAGCTTACAGTCTACTTTTGTGTCTTTTTGGTAAGTCAATGCATTTTACGAGGGTTGCTTGCAGTCACATGGGTGAGAATTTATTTACAGAGTATGACTTCGGTCTTAGTTACTGCTCTATTACTATGAAGAGACATATGATCAGGCAACTTATAAGAGAAAGCATTTAGGCCAGGCATCGGTGGCACACACCTTTAATCCCAGCACTCAGGAGACAGAGGCAGGCGGATCTCTGTGAGTTCGAGGCCAACCTGGTCTACAGAGCAAGTGACAGGATAGGCTCCAAATCTACACAGAGAAACCCTGTCTTGAAAAACAAAAAAACAAAACAAAACAAAAAAACATTTAATAGAAGCTGGCTTACAGTTTTGAGGGTTTTGTGGGTTAGTTCATTACCATCATGGCAGGAAGCTTGGTGGCAGGCAGGAATGGTGTTAGAGAAGTAGCTGAGAGCTTACACCTTGATCCACAGGCTGGAAGCAGAGAGAGGGCAAGAGTGGGCCTATTAGGGGCTTTTGAAAGCTCAAAGCCCACCCCCAGGAACACCTCCTCCTTATTATTAGGGGCTTTTGAAAGCTCAAAGCCCACCCCCAGGAACACCTCCTCCAATAAGGCCACACCTCCTAATCCTTCTGAAACGATTTCACCAACTGGGGACCAAGCATTCAAATATGCAAGCCTATGGGGAACATTCTCATTCAAACCACCACACATGTGGGTACCACAGCAGTGTCTACACTACTCAAGAAAATGTCTCCTTCCTCCATTAATCATTAGCTAGGTATAAATCCATAGGGAGGAGCTGGACCTTGTGACACCACCCCATAACAGAATGCTACTGTTGAGGTCCCTAAAACATGCAGATTTTACACAGGTAGTCATAGCTGCCCTGAGTTCAAGAATTCCAAGTTCATGCTATGCCATGAAGTCAGCTTCCTGTGACTCTTACATTCTTTGTGTCTTCTCTTGCACAATCAAACCTGAATTCTTTACTGTGTAGTCACATCTGGTGGCCATGGGGGGAAACTGATGGCTCTTCTGTTAGAGAAGCTGTTTAATAGCTACAGGCTGACGTCGCATTAGGGACTGAAATATGTGGTTGTCTTTGGCTGTGGTTTTCTGGTCATCCTCCAGGCTTCTGAAGATGGGGTTTTCTTGAGACTGATTTGGGGCTTGGCATCCATATAACCAGGGCTCCTAGAATCGGGATAAATCTCCATTTGGGGTCATTCTGAGGTTTGGGGCCTAGCCTGTCCATCTGAGGCCCATTGACCTGTCTCCAGGCAGCCCCTGCCTTTCTTCTCCTTGCAGCTACGCTACAAGACCACAGCTGCCCTGACACAGGCTTCGTCATCTGTCCAAGCTGCCACACTGACCGTCATAGGAGCCACGACTCTGCTAGCTGACCTCGAGGGTACGTGTGTCCTGCTGAGCCCCGAGGGTCTGTACAAGCCTACTTGCCTACTTGCCTACAGCCTACTTGCCTCAGCCAGGGATGCCTGGCTACAGGGAACCACATCTAGCTTTGTGGACTTAAGCCGGGTAGACCATTCCATCTGCTGAATCTCAAGACTTCCATGCTGTTTTTCTCTTCGTGTCTCACATACCACTCATTGGGTACTAGCCTCTGTAGGCCACACCAACTAGCTCCCAGCATTATCAGACCAAACACAGAGTTCCTCAGGGACTCTGAGAAAATAATCTGTTGTCACTGACAGGGATCAGGAGGGATCAGGAGGATCGAGCTGTCTGAAGTATTCAAGGTTCCAAGTCCCATCTTCAGCACAGGTAGAAAGCAAAACCAGGGCGAGGGTATGAGTCAGCTGATAGAATGCTTGCTGAGTGTGCATAAGGTCCTGTGTTAGACCCCCAACACCAAATAAATCAGGCATGGTGGTGCACACCTGTGATCTCCACACTCAGGAGGATCAGAAGTTCAAGTTCATGGCTACATAGTGAGTTTGAGAGTATCGTGAAATACATGAGACCCTGACCAAAAATAAAAAAATAAAATAAAAAACAAACCAAAACAAACAAAACAAAACCCCCAAATGGCTGGATGGTGGGTCACACTTGTATTCCTAGCAGTAGATAAGCTGAGGTGGGAAGAGTGGGCCAGCCTGGTCTACCATAGTAAGTTCTAAGGCAGCTTGAGCTTTTGAATGAAATTCTGTATCAAAATGCTCCAAACCAAACAAAACTCAAAACTATGTGGTTTTGTTTAGAGTGGGCTAGCTTTGACTGCCCAAACTTCTGAAACTTTAAGAAAATGAAGTTATACTGAGTGTGATGGCATAGGCCTTTAATCCCAGCACTTGGGAGACAGAGACGGGCAGATCTCCAAGTTCAAGGCCAGCCTGGTCTACAGAGCAGGTTCCAGGACAGCCAGGGCTACCCAGAAACCCTGTGTCAAGAGAGAGAGAGAGAGAGAGAGAGAGAGAGAGAGAGAGAGAGAGAGAGAGAGGGAGGGAGGGAGGGAGGAAGGAAGAGAAGGGGAAAGGGAAGGGGAAGGGGGGAGGAGGAGGTGCAGAGAATGGGGAGGAAGGGGAGAGGGAGGAGGAAGGGAGGGAAGGGAGAATCCAAGTGGCTTGCTTCACAGGTGAGCAGACAGAAAATCCATCATTCATCCATCCTTGAGTCAGAGCTGAGCACTGTATCTCTCTACCTCAAGGTCCACCATCTTCGAGCCAGAGAGAAGCCTTTGTGGTTCTTTGTCCATGCCACCTAGCACCTTCTCTCCATCCTTGTCCCTGCAGCAGACTGGAGATATATTAGCTCAGTGGTGTCAGGGTGGGGCATGTTTTCTAGTCTCCTTGGGGACTGGAGTCCTGGTCACTCACTCACTGGGGCCTCCTATGAAAAGGGCGTGGCTGTGTGCATGCTTATACAACACATTTAGAAAAATGTGTTATGTAATGTCGTGTGTTATTTTAGGGGGCATCAGAATGGTGGAAGGTGGGTTGTAAGCCACCAATGGCTCAGTGCCCTCAGCTTCCTTCTCTACAGTGAGATGCACATGGCCTCCCAGGTGTTACCTTCTCCTTGTTGAGAACAAGGCTTTGCATGTGCTGGGTGGAAATTTGTCCCTGATTCTGCTCCAGAACCCAAAAGATTAACTTCAAACCTCAAGCCCAGGCCCTTTCCACCCTTTCCCAGAACAGTCTAGAGGCTGTGACCACCATGTGATATGACTTTAATAGAGATCACAATAGAGACACCATCGTAGCATATTTGTCTTCGCATTTGCTGAGGGCAGTGTCTCACTCCTCTTGTTATTCCCTGGGGTTGCCTTGAGAAGGGGACACACAGATCTCTGCTCCCATTGTCCAAAATCCTGGGGCTGGTCAAGTCACCACCTGGCAGGCTCTCCAGTATGAGTGTGCTCCTCCTGCCTCAGCCTTGGCCTGTTTTGCAGGAACAAAGCAGAGGTTTCCTCTGCCCAAGGAGCAGGAGGTGCTGAGAAGGAGAGCAGGCAGCATCAGGGCCAGGCTCCTGGAGCACTCGAAGAGGAAGACCAAGCAGGCAGAGAGGATGCTGGGAAATGCTGCAGCTCTCTCCTCCAGCGCCAAGAAGAAAAGCAAAGAAGCAGAACTGATGTCCAAGGACAACGCCAAGGTCAGGTTCACGACAACAGCCTTGTTGACAACAGCTCTCTGGCCCTCTGTGCTGACTGCTGTGGCTCTCAGCTCAGGCATTCATGTGGGTGACCTCACTGACTCCTCAAGGAAAAGGAGTCACTGGTGGGCCTGTGAGAATGTGGAGCCTCTAGACTGAGCCAAGTTCAAAGCTTAAGTCATATGACCAGGACTCACACCTGGGCCCAGTGGGATGTTGTCTAAACTTGTAGGTTTTTCTTTGTTGTTGCTGGATTTCTTTTATTTCATTTTGTTTACCTTTTTATATAATTTTAAGTTGTTCTATTTTATGTGTACAATGTTTTATATGTATGTGTACTACGTACATGCCTGGTGTGGGCAGAAGTTAGGATACCCTGGCTGTGAGTGACTATGTGGGTGCCAGGAACTGAACCAGGTCCACTGCAAGAGCAACAACTGCTCTTAACTGCTGAGCCATCTCTCCAACCCCCACTTTTTAATTTTTTACAGTCTCATGTTTTTATCCTAGGCTAGCCTTGAAGTCACTGTATAGCTGAGGGTGACCTTGAACTTTTGATTCTTTTATCCTCTACTAAAGATCAAACCCAGGGCCTCATGCATTGAGGCAAACACGTGTCTGAGCCACATTCCCTATCCCCCACACTTTCTTTACCTGGGGCCAAATTCTAATCTCTCTCTCTCACTCTCTCTCTCTCTCTCTCTCTCTCTCTCTCTCTCTCTCTCTGTGTGTGTGTGTGTGTGTGTGTGTGTGTGTGTTCCTCAGATCAAGTGCTCACACCCAATCTTCATGGTTGCCTAAATTTCTGAAGGACTGGCCTGCAACTAGGAGTTCCAGGTGCAGTTTCTTGTCCCATTGCTCAGACTTTGGGCAGCTCCTTCTCCCCATCCCTTGCCCTTTATTTCTCCATATATAAAATAGGTGGAATTTCTCCACTAAGGAGGAGTGATCAGTTTGTAGGAATTTGTACTGAAAATACACCCTGTCTCTAGTGCAAGCCTATTGATTGTGGGAATGAATGAATGAGCGGATGTTCTAGGTTATGTGGGTGGGTGTTCTAGGTTGTGTGGGTGGGTGCTCTAGGTTATGTGGGTGGGTGCTCTAGGCTATGAAGTAGACTGCTTGGCATCATGTCATAAGAACTCTTGTCCAAGCCAAACCTGGTGGTATAAGCCTATATTCCAGCTACTTTGAAGGCTGAGGCAAGAGGATTACAAATCCAAGGCTATCCTGGGTAGCTTAGTAAACCCCTATTTCAAAATATAAGAACTGGTCATGACATGTAGATCAATCATAGAGTGTCTACCTAACAAGTGAGACTCTGGCTTCCAACTTCAGTCCCGAAGAGGAAAACCAAAGAACAAAGCTCTTCTTTCCCAGGGGGTTTATTCTTTCCTCCCCTGCTGTCCTGCAGCTGGCCAAAGCTTTGCTGAGGGAGGGGAAGCAGGGCCACCGTCGTGCCAGTAGACTCGCCAGTCAGACCCAGGCCACACTCCGCCAGGCTTCTCGGCTAGTACTAACCTCAGAAGAGCGCAAACAGGAACTGGAGGAGGCTAAGCAGGTGGGTGTCCCCAGCCCTCACGCCATCCCCTATGCCCAGTGTCCCCAGTGTCTTAGTTAGGGTCACCACTGCTGTGACAAAATACCATGACCAAAAGCAACCTGGGAAGGAAAGGATTTATTCCATGTATATTTCCAGATAACAGTCCATCACTGACAGAAGTCAGGGTAGGAACTCAAACAGGGTAGAAACTCAGAAGTAGGAGCTGATGCAGAGACAGTGGAGAAGTGCTGCTTCCTGGCTTGCTCCTCCTGATTTCCTCAGCCTGCTTTCTTATAGCAACCAGGACCACTATCCCAGGGATGTCACCACTCACCATGCCTGGGCCCTCTCTGTCAATTACTAATTAAGAAAGTGCCCTACAGTCTTGCCTATGGCCTGGTCCTATGGAGGCATCTTCTCAGTTAAGGTTCCCTCATCTCAGATGACTTTAGCTTGTTTTAAGTTGACATAAAACTAGCCAGAACTCCCAGTCAACCCAGGGAGCCACTAAGATGTTTTTTCTGGCCAAGGTGGCCTCTGGGCTGAGCACAGTGGAGCGCCAGATCCAAGAATCTCGAGGCTCTTTGGTGAAGGACGTCAAGGTCCTGTCAGAGCTGCTCACCAAGCTGGGTAAGGAGACCCCAAGGCAAGTCCCTGGGGGCAGTCACAGGAAACATTGGTCCTTGTCTTAAAATCCATAGCTTCCACTCTACCCTGTCACCTATCACAGGCTTTGTAGCCATGCAGGCCCTGTGTAGGGTGGGGTGGGTGTCTGGAATTGAATTCACTGTGTCTCCAGGGGCACAAGGGACTATATCTGCTTCCTCTAGACTGGTGAGTATGGGGTGGGTCGGGGGAACAGAAAACTCACTATGTTTCCTTGGAGTCCTGATGGCTGACTTACCAGTTAGAGAATAGACAGAATGACAGAAAAGCAAGGGGCACATTGGTGAATAGGACTTGATTCTGACTCTGTCCCTTCCTGGGTGGTGGAACTTTGGGCATGCCACTCGACTTCTGAGCTGGTTTGTCCACCTATGAAGCAAGAGTGAAAGCAGGCAACTTAGAAAGCACATATCTGGGGAGAAGTCAGCAGACACTGGTTCACAGGAAGGAGGGAAAATGCCACATGAAGCCAGGTGGGACAGCGCACCATCATCAGCCTAGGCCTTGAGAAGCTAGGGCAGAAGGATAGGATCAAGTTCTAGGTCAGCGCTGGGTACATAGTGGATGCCATGCCTCAAGAAAGAAAGAATGTGGGGAGAAGAGCTGGCTCAGCTGTTAAAACCCACTGACCTGCTCTTCTAGAGGATCCGAGTTCAGTCCCAGCACCCATGTCAGCAGTTCACAACATTCTGTAACTCCAGCTCCGGGGGATCCAATACCCTCTTCTGGCTTCTATGGGCACCCTCATACATTCATGTAGGCATAAACACTTAAAAACAAAACACATCTTTAAAATAAAAGAAGGAATGAAAAGGAAAACTCTGGACAGGCTTTAGCAAAGAGGACTTATATATGAATGGCTTGGGCCCTATGGATGAAGAGTTGGTAGCCACTGGCTTGGATGACCAGGACAATGGTCAGAGAGGTTGGGCTGAAATTAACAGCATTTATTTTTAAAAACTATGCTAAGATATACATAACATAAAATGTACTTTGCAAACATTAAACATGTATGCTTTAACAGTATACTTTTTGTTTTGTTTTTGCCTCTTTCTTTCTTTCTTTCTTTCTTTCTTTCTTTCTTCCTTCCTTCCTTTCTTTCTTTCTTGTTTTTTTTTGAGACATGGTTTCTCTGTGTAACAGCCCTGGCTGTCCCGAAATTCACTCTGCAGACCAGGCTGGCCTTGAACCCACAGAGATCTGCCTGCCTCTGCCTCCCAAGTGCTGGGATTAAAGGCGATGCCACCACTTCCCAGCTAGGTACATGTTTTGATGACTGTTAGTCAGCCTTGTTGCTGTGATGAACTTCCTGAGGCAATCAATTTAAGAGGAGGAAAGACATGAGTTAGGAATGTGGCTCAGTGGTAGAGTGTTCATCTACCAGGCACAAAGTCCTAGGGCCCATCCTTGGCACCACAAGAGAGGATGCAGGGAGAGGAGGGGATAAAGGTTTGCTTTGGCTTTGGGTTTGAGTCCATGAGCTTTGAGACTTCGGCAGCTCAGTGCTTCCTGGAAGCAGCACACATGGAGGAGGCCAGGTCACGTCACCATGGTCAAGAAGGAGCAGAAGTGCTAATATCCTGGTCAGGGCACATTCCTGGTGACCTAGCTTCCTTCCACTAGCACCCACCTGCGAAGGAGTCCACCACCTCCTTCTCATGCCACAGAGCCTGGGCCTCTGTCATTAAACAATCACATTGTTGTGTCCCCATCACCACGATCTACCTCAAGGACTTTCCTAATTGTCCAAAGAGAAATAGCCCATTAAACACGGACTCCCCACACCATTCCCTGTGTCTGCCTCCTTTCTATATGGCTGTGGCCCATCTCCCTCTGCTCCCCAGTACTGGCATTAAAGGCACGTGTGTAGATCAGACTGGCCTCTAGCTCACAGAAATCAGCCTGCCTCTGTTTTCGGGTACTAGATTAAAAGACCACTGCACCTAGCTTACATTTATTTTCCTTTACTCATTTATTTTGTGTGCTTGCATGTGAGCTTGTCGTGGCAAGCAGATGGAGGTCAAGGGACAACTGTGGGATTGAACTCAGGTCATTAGTCTTGGTGGCAAGCACCCTTTCTCCATGAATGACCCCTCTGCCTCATATTTTGAGATAGGGTCTCACTGAACCTGGAGCTCATAGATTTGGCTAGGCTAGTTTGCCTGAGCTTCCAGTTCCAGGGATCCTCTTGACTCTCCCATATGCAAGCGCCATGATACGAATACACACACACACACACACACACACACACACTAAATGAATAAACATAATAAAAAAATTTAAATGATGCAGTCCCTAAGGACTGCCACCTTAGGAAGTTAGGATTCCATCAATGGATAAATCCACTGATGGAGTAAGGGTTTCCATGATCCAATCTCCTCTTGATGCTGGGATCCATCATCTGGGGACCAAGCTTTCAACACATGAGCATTTTAGGAGGCACTTTATCTGTAAAACAGCCCTCCTCTGCCCCTTCGTGCCCTCAGACCCAGGATTCTTTGCTTGGGAAGTTCAGAAGAACCTGGAAGGATTAGAAACCACTTGAGGTCAGGCAGTGGTGATGCAAGCCTTTAGGCCCAGCCCTGCGGGGGGTGGGGGGGCACAGAGACAGGTGGATGATCACTGTAAGTTTGAGACCAAATTGGCCTACAAAGGGAGTTTCAGGACAGGCAGGGCTACACAGAGAAACCCTGCCTCAAAAAACCAATAACAAACAAAGAAACAAGCAAAAAGAAATCACTTGGGGCTGACTTCTACCCTGTCATCCTCCAATCCAGTTGAGCTCCATTTTTCTGTTGAATGTCATACTTGATGACAAGGTGACACAGGGACCTTGGACTCCAAGCCACTGTCACCACACTGCATTCCTGTATGAGCACCTGGCCCCACTCCTTGTCTTTTAGAGAGGCTCATTCCTACTAAGTGGAAGGAATTCATGAGGGGCCAGGGTGAGGGTCACTGCCTGTCCTGAGGCCTACTGCCCTTCCTACCCCATGTGGCCCTGGCCCATCTGAACCTGGATACCCTCTGTCTACTCTGTGAGCCCATTTGACCAGAGCACAGTGGTATTTACAAATGTGTGCTGACATTAGAGCCAGCATGGATCCTGGGACTTCTCTCCCACAGTTTTGTAAATGAGGAAACAGGTTTCAGAGGCCTTTAAAAAAAACTTTTTTAATGGGCTAGGAAATGGCTACTGCCAAACCTGATGACCTGAGTTCCAGTCCTGGATCCATTATGGAGAGAGAGAACAGACTTCCACTCATGCCTCAACAACAAATAAGTAAATATAACTAAATTATTAAGAATTTAAAAAAACCCACCATGTAAAATGGTGTATGGCTTTAATCCCAGCACTCAAGAGGTAGAGGCAGGTAAATCTAAGTGGGAGACCAGCCCGGTCTACAGAGTGAGTTCCAGGACAGCCAGGGCTACACAGAGAAACCATGTCTTGAAAAAACAAAAATAAATAAATAAATAAATAAATAAATAAATAAATACCCAACCAGACGTGGTGGTGCACTTCTTTAATCTCAGCACTCAGGAGGCAGAGGCAGGAAGATCTCTAGGGCGTCCAGGTCAGCCTGAACTACACAGCAAGTTCCAGGACAGCCATGATTACAAAAGAACAACAACAACAGTAACAGAATCATTAAGACCTTGTTTAAAGATATTTATTTATTTATTTATTTATTTATTTATTTATTTGGTTTTTCAAGACAGGGTTTCTCTGTATTGCTTTGGAGGTGGTCCTGAAACTCACTCTGTAGACCAGGCTGGCCTCAAACTCACGGAGATCCACCTGCCTCTGCTTCCCAAGTGCTGGGATTAAAGGTGTGCGCCACCAACGTACATGTGAGTGTTTTGCCTGTGTATAAATGCACCATGTGCATGCAGTACCCACAGAGGCCCGAAAAGAGTGTGAGACACCCTGGCACTGGAATTACAGATAGCTATAAGCTATCATGTGGGTGCTGGGAACTGAACCTGGGTCCTCTTCAAGAGTAACATGTACTCCTAACTCTCCAGCTCCAGTAATTAACTCTGCATGTGGGCTCCAGGCTAAACCCTTCTGCGTCCCTTCTTAGTTCTTTTTTTCCCAGTAGGTGGTGAACTGACCAGGTTCTGGGTGTCTGACCTGAATCTTGGGTTCCAAGGCCTGCAGGCAGATGGCCTCTGTTGACTCTGTCTGTGCTCCTCTACAGGGTCCCTGGATACCCACCAAGCTCCTACTCAGATCCTGAATGAGACCCAAAGGGCTCTAGAAAGCCTGAGGCAGCAACTGGGTTCACATGGAACCCTGCATCGCAAACTGAGGGAGTTGGAGCAAGAGTCTGCACGGCAGGAGCTGCAGATCCAGAGCTTTGAGAATGACCTTGCTGAGATCCGCGCTGACAAGCACAACCTGGAGACCATTCTGAGCAGCCTACCAGAGCAATGTGCCAGCTAGACCCTGGCACACCCTCCCCACCTTGCTGTTTCCTGCCCACTCCCCATAGGTGTCCCGGGTCGGCCTTCTGTGTGCTCATGTGAATGACCACACTTGCTTACTGGTATGTCCAGACCGTCTTCAGTGTGAGCAGCAGGAGTGAGTCCATGTTCACAACTCCACACAGATGGCACTGTGTGCAGCCCTACATATGCATCAGCACACATACCCCCAGCATCATAGAGCTGTCAAGACGCAGCCATGAGCTTGGACACACTTTGCATCCTGGGTGAATCCCATTATGAGAAATTCCCTGACTATCTAAACACCCCCTCCAGAGAGTAGAGCTCCAAAGCTGAGAGGTTATCCACAGAGATCTTGAGAAGGCAAATCCCACACCCATGGTCACAGCGCTGGCCTTGGGCCTACTATGCTCCCACATCGCCCACTGGTCACCCAGCAGCTTAAAGAACTGAGGTGCTGGGCAGATCAAGAAATGCCAAGACTCTAACAGGATTTAGAGGTGGCATCCAAGTGTGGCCTGAAAGGCCCACAAGGCAAGACACAGATGTCATTGTCTTTTGTGGACTCTTCCCTCCGTGGATCTGGATCTGCCGCAGACTCACTGAAGGAAGTCTCTACCCACACCCATCCCCCTCTGTCTCCTGATCTACCTGAAGAACCAGGTTCTTCAGAGTCTGGGTCATGAGGCCTCAAGCAGGCTCTAGGAACAGCCCTCTGTGCCCTGCTGACCTGGTTAGTCTTTGATTGGCACTTCTCAAACCAGTCCTGTGGCTCCACCTGTCATGAAGGATGCCACAGGGGTGTGGAAGCCTGGCTGTCATTCTAGGCCTGCGGCCCATGGCTGCCTCTGCCCAGGAATCCCTGGCATTTCCTCCTGATGTTCCCCCTCTTTCTCTGGGCCTTCTTTTAGTACACAGCAGGGCCTAGGCACTAGGATTACAGCCACCTTTGCAAGCCCTGTCCCTTTCCTAGGTCCCAGAGGAACTGATGGTGATGTGGACCAATTCTGATTATGAGGAAATAAAGGACCCTTTTCTGAGCTGGGTGTGTCTTTGATAGGCACTACTGGTGGGCAGCCAGGGCCTGCTGTGGGTATGCACAGAGCACCTTTGTGGCTGGCCCTGAAAGCAGGTAGATCCTACGTTGGTGATCCCAACATGTGGGAAGGAAGTTGGCAGAACTGGGCTCATGCCATGCCAGGGTCTGTCATGGCTGGCTTTGCAGGGGCCAGGTGACCACCCTCTTTCCTTTCAGATCCAGGGGACTTTCAGACAAAGACTAGGGGCCAGGGGAGAGGTGGCCTACAAAGAGGTCTTCAACTGATTCCTGCTTCAGGGTGGAGACACTGAGGCAGGAAACTGAACTTAAAACTGTCCAGTAGCTCTACAAGGAGCATGGAAGGACACCATCAAACAAGATGAAGTCTTGGGTCTAGGCTTAGAAGTGTGGAGAGACAGAGGAGAGAGTGCCCCAGATAAGAGGGTAGACAGTCAGGGTTACAGAGCAGGGGCCTGGCCAGCATAGGTCACTGCAAATCTAGGCTAGGGCAGGTTGTAAAGCACACTCTAGTCTACCAAGGCTTTTAGCCACAAAGCCAAAAGGATCCCCAGATTAGCTTCAACAGAAAAACAGAGGTCATCAGAAGGGTGATTTGGGATTGTGGACTAGGAAAAGCTGCCAGGCTACAGAGAAGCCTGGAGACTGTAGCCTGGTGCTGATGTGGTGGGCATCATCTTCTGTCTCCTTCCTTGGTCCCAGCTCTGCTTCCTCTGTTTGTTTAGGTCTTACCTCTGCAAGTTAGCCTTCCTTCCTTCCTTCCTTCCTTCCTTCCTTCTTTCTTCCTTTTCTTTTCTTTTCTTTTCTTTTCTTTTCTTTTTTTTTTCTAGACAGGTTTTCTCTGTATAGCCCTGGCTGTCCTGGAACTCTCTCTCTGTAGACCAGGCTTATCTCAAACTCAAAGGTTTGCCTGCCTCTGACTCCCAAGTGCTGGGATTAAAGGTGGTTGCCACCACTGCCCAGTGTGCCACTGTCTTTCTTGAACAAGATGATGACACTGTATAGTCCCCTCCCCCAAAGTCCTGGATTTGCAAATTTTTGGTTACTATTTTTATTTTGATATTTATTCATTTTTATTTTATATGTATGTATGTGTTTTTCCTGCATGCATGTCTGGAAACTATATGCATGTTTCAAATCCTCTGGAACTGAAGTTATAGACAGTTGTTAGTTATGTGATTTCTGGGGACCAAACCCAAGTGGACAAATAGACAATTCTTTGTTTGTTTGTTTGTTTGTTTTGAGACAAGGCTTCTCTATGGCTTTGGAGGCTGTCCTGGAACTAGCGCTTGTAGACCAGGCTGGTCTCGAACTCACAGAGATCCACCTGCCTCTGCCTCCCCAGTGCTGGGATTAAAGGCATGCGTCACCAACCCCCGGTGTAAATAGACAATTCTTTTAACTGCTGAGCCACCACTTCAGCGCCAGGTCAAACGTCTGGTTGGTCAGATCCCCTGCATATTCAAAATAACAGGGCCTCCTGGTCCAAGGCTTTGTGATGAGACATGTCCTACACCTCCCTCCTGGCACAATGGGGGGTGGGGAGGGGCCAGTGTTCAGAGGAGAGGCACCTTCCTCCAGAGAGAACCTTAAAGTCAGGGTGAAGGTGAGGTTGCTGGTGGTGGTTGTTTTAGGCTGAGTGAGACTGACTTGGTGGGTTGCCGGGGTCAGTAGAAAGACTGAAGATAGGGAATTGGGTGAAGAGGCTCTGGTGCATATGCGGCCAAGGAGTGAGGGCTCTAAAACTAACTCTGGGACGGATCTGACATTGCTCTGGCCTCAGCCAAGTTTGTCTGATGGTGGACTTGTTCAACCCCTACTCACCTGAGCAATGATGCTCAGCAAGACCCAGGCCAGCATCCCCAGTGGGCAGAGGCCAGGCTTCTTCTCCATTCCTGGGTGACAAGTCTCAGGCCTAACATGTGACTCATGCAGTATGATCATGCCTGATGCGTGCAGAGCCCAGAGATGGGCCTCCTCATGACTGAGTGGAATAAAGCAGCCACTGGACATCTGAGCAGGAGAACATGGGGTGGCCCCTGCTCAATCCCATGGAACAGTCAGGAACAGCTGTTGTGTAGCAAGTCTCCTTTGGGGTTAAAACGTTCAACCCTGCAGGGGAGGCCTAAAGCAGGGAGCTAAATAACCAAAAACAATAGCTTCAAAAACACCCTGAAACTGACCAGACTCACTAAGCCCCTCCCTGACAGGGTAAGTAGAGCTTGGGTGCAAAGCTCTTTAACAAGAAGAGCTGCCTGGAGAGATTAGAGCAACTGAGGTATCTGGACAGGACATTCTCCATGCAACCTTATTGAGCTGTCTGCAGACTGTGCAGTGTGTCCAGGTTCCCAGCTTTGTGAGCTGTCACCCACACTGCAGTGGGCTTTGGTGATGCAGTTGTCTGTGAGTCATTTCTTCTCCTGTAAGTAACCCCCCACCCATATTCTTGTAACCCCAATAAAACTCATTGGCTCACCAAGCTGGACTTTGGTGGTATCCCTACTTCGGTCTGTCCTGGCTTCCCTAACTGGAGTGAGTAGGTGCGTGGTAGGTGTGTGTTACATCTCCCCAGGAAAGGTTTTGGCACACAACAACAGCTAACCCAACTAGCTATCGCAATAGGCAGTCTGAGACTGGACCAATGAGTGCCCTATTCTGAGTCCAGTTCCTGCATGAGCTTTTAGAGGGAATACTACCAAGTAGGTTTTGCATTCCCAAGCCCTTGTCAGCCCTACTTCTGCACTCCACAGTCCCTACTCCTGTTTTCCATATTCTGCTCAGTAGGGAGCTTGAATCAAGTGTTCAGGTTCAGACCTTGGGATGAATGAATGGGCAGTGACCTAGGAGCAGGGGTCCATGCCCTCTGAACATCTTTGCTCACTTTAGCCCCATCTCATTCTGTATGGCCCCTCTGTGTGAGCCTGACCATTTTTCTCCCCTGGGGAAAAAAAATAAAAGAGGCAATCATCTGGTCCCAGGATCCCAATATAAGGAGTCCAGATCTGAGACAAGTCTGGGGAAGGGGAATTCCTAGATCCAGCCCCCAGAGACATACTGCAGGCGGTGGTGTCTCCTTCCCCTGGGCAGGGAAATCCTGCTCTGTTGGCCGTGTCCACAATTTAACAATTCGACGGAGACCCTTTCTCCGGAAGACAGATCGGATTGGACAGTAGAATGCATGATTTCTTTCTTTACAAGTCTCCAGTTCTTGCATACACGGCCTGGCTTCATCTGTAGTCATCAGCTGCTTCCTTTATCCCCCTAGAGGAGTTGTGTTCCAGGCTTCAGCTTCCAGACTTTTCTTTCAAATAGGCATACCCGTCCTATTTTGTAGGTTGGGGGATGAAACGACACACACAGAGGCAAGTGTCAGGTAACCGTGAGCGACCAATAAGGTCTTTATTATCAACACTCACATTTATCTAATTGATTTAATTGGTGTCATAGTGGCACTACCGGGCAAAGGCGACAATGAGGTGACAGCCTACATTAGCACTTGATCTTCACAAACAGCTCTTCGAACTTCTCACTGAGTTGTGATTTTGTCTCTTCTGGAGAAGAGGACGGGGAGAGAGAGCGGTCCGGTAGTGCATTTTCCGCGTCCTCCAGTAGAGGGGCGGTGGCAGGCTCCGCGTCCAGCGAAACAGCTAGCTTTGATGCCCTCTCCCTGCCGTCCCTCGCTTTTGCCGGAGTCGGGCGCACACCATGTCAGTAGCGGTCGGCAACAGGTTCCAAGGTAGGCGCCTGCCGTCCGGCACTGTCCCGCGCCCGGCGTTCTCCGGTCGTCACCTGTGCGGCACTCGCGGGAACTCGGAGGGGGAGCGTGGCCCGGGAGGTCGCCTCACTTCCCCGCTGCCTCTTTGTCTCCCGCAGGAGGGAAGGCGTTCGGCTTGCTCAAAGCTCGGCAGGAGAAGCGGCTGGAGGAGATCAACCGGGTAAGCCGCGCCACCGCGGGGGGACGGCGTACGGGTTCCTTGCGCCCCACTGTGGCACTCCATCCCCCCAGACAAAATCAGTCCTTTCCTCCCCCATCCCTGGCCTTCCCCAGTTGCATCTCTGCCCCCTGCCGTGTGGCCTCGACTCCAGGTAAGTCCACTCCACCCCTTAGCTCTCTGCCTGGCGGTCTCCGGTTGCAAGTTGTAACACTCTGGCTAGGGAGGTGGGGCTGATGAAGGAGCCCGGTGCCGGCGGGCAGGGGCTTCCCGGGAGTCCGCTGGGGACCTCCTAAGGATTTTGGCGCCAGAAGGGACCCTTGGGCCAGTGCTGTCTCCGTGGACCACGGAACTTAACACTGGGGGTTGGCTGGCAGATACTGGCATTTCCCTGTCGCCTCCCACCTCCAGCTCCAACACAGATCTTTTTCACCAGCTTTTAGAAAAGTTGCCCGAGGGACTGCCTTTTTTATTTTTATTTTTTAAACTGGTCCAGGGAAGTTCTAGACAGAAATCCTTCCGCTGCTGCCAGACACACAATAGCAACTCCGTACATTTGCTACTGAGCGTGTAGATCCCAGGAGATAAAGAAAGGTGTCAGGGCCTCCTGGATTGGCAAAGCACAGAGGTGGCACAGTCTGTGGCTTTACGGTTCCCACGATCGGGGTTCAGACATGACTAATGTCTATAATAAGGGTTTCTCACCTCCTGCAGGGTCACTTTGTGGGCTCAGTAAGGCATGGAGCCTGCATGGTCTGGGGTCTAGCTCCAGAGAGACATCCCACGGGGGTATTAGAGTTTTCTCTTTTCTTTTTCTCTTTTTTTCTGTACTGGAGACTAAACTCATGACCTCTCCATGTTAGGCAAGCACACTACCATTGAGTTATTAATACATAGGGAGCAAAGGAAGTCCTCTGACACAAGGCTAGGTATTTCCCCTTAGTTGCCCCTTTGGTCTTGGTATACCCAGGAGAACAAGCTAGGGTCTCTGGTGGGGAGCTGGGTCAGCACACTGGAGGTCATTGGAGATGTGGGGGCTGTGATCCCTTGAAGTGTTTCCTCCCTATTCCTGTCTTTATTTCCATGCACTGCCTAGACCTAGATAGGCATCTCTTCCCATCAGCCAGCTCCAGGAGTCCCCTGGAGGGCTCTGGACTCTCTTATACTACCCCCGCCCTTGCTCTTCAGTGCTTGTCTTAAAGCATGGCTTCAGGGGTTGTGTACATCTGGCTGGGCTCAGGCCAGGCCTGCTGGGCTTCTGGAAGGTCCCTCAGCACCACCCCAGCCTTGGCTGCTTTTGTTTCTGGACAGGAACCTGGGACTATAACCTCATAGAGCCCGCTGGACCACTTGGTTAGGCAGGTTTTGTGCTAGCTGACTCCACCCATAGCCAACAGTACCCTAAACCTGAGACAGCTGGAGATGGGCATTAGGTGACTTTCCTTAGTGGAGTCAAAAGAGCTAAGATCTTGGGACTTTCTGTGTTGACCCCACCCTTGGGATACAGACCAAAGCTTGGGATGGGAAGGTGGTTCAAAAGGGGGAGGACCTGTGACTTTCAGGGGCTGATTGTTTGTACTGGCACTGCAGAAAGTGGTCTTGTTGGAGCTGTGATCTAACCATTTCAGGACTTCAAATACCTGGAGAGGGCAGGCATCTGAGCCATTCCACACAGGAGCGACTGGCACAGCTTTGCAACCTAGTGTCTCCTTGCTGCAGGATGCCGTTTTGAGATCTTCCACATGAGCTTTGGCACTATGGGGCTGTAGTATAATCCAGAGTGTGGGTTCCTAGAGGATTATGCTAGATGGTTGAGCTTCTCTTGCGCTACAGCAGGCCAAAGTGACTACACTATAGTCAGAGCCAGGAGGCAGGCTGCCAAGCACTGGCTCTGTGAGATCAGCAAGCTGCTTCACCTCTCTGAGCCTCCCTTGCCAGTAAGAGATAATAGTAGTGATTGTTTTTTTTTATTTAGCCAGATGATGTGTGTGAAATATACACCATTGGCTTTTGTGAGCATCACCATTTGTTTGTGTGAAGTCTTCAGGTATAAGGAGTAGGCATGGAGGTATGCCAGGGATGTACCAGGTGCTCCCTCTTCCCAGCAGTGGGAGCAGTGGACCCACCCCTTTTGAACCCTGCAGTAGTCAGTGGAGAAGGACAGACTCAAGAGTTTTGGGTGGCTCTGCTTGAGGGTCCCAGTCTGGTTGGCCCATGGCCATGTTTGCAATGAAGTCCTAAGAATACAATATTCTAGAGAGCTGTGTTGACAGATTGTCTTCTGTTGGAGAACACCTTCACTGCTCACTGGAGTGGGGATTCCGAGGTGCTGAGCTGGACTGCACTGCGCAGTGCCTGTTGGCCCCATCTAAGCAAAAAACCATACAGGCACCACTTCATGACTCACGACAGGGGGGTGGTGTGACCAGCTGTGGTGTCCATGAGCATGGGCACGACCAGCTGCTGTCTGGGGCAGAGCCCAGCTCTAGGGAGATTCTCCAGTTTCCCTTAGGGCCTTTCCCCATCCCTGGAGTGAGTGGCATTTTTGTATTCAGCAAGGTCGCTCAGTCTTAGCAATTGCTATCATAAGAGAGGCAAGAGTCAAAGTCTAACACTCTGGTGGGGCCAGAGAACACTGAGGGGGAGAAGAGGTAGGGAGTGACACAGAATGCAGCTTTTTAGGGGTTCAGTTTAGTTTTTTCCTTACAAATTTTTGTTGCCTGGTGGTGGAGGCACACACATTTAATCCCAGCACTCAGGAGGAAGAGAAAAGTGGATCTCTGTGAGTTCAAGGCCAGCCTGGTCTACAGAGTGAGTTCCAGGACAGCCAGGGCTACATAGGGAAAACCCATCTTGAATAAAAATAATAACAAAAATATTTTTAAAATCCCTTTAACTTATTAGTGTATATGTAAGTATGTGCAGCAGACACACCCAGACTGTGTATATGTAAGTGTGTGCAGCAGACACACCATAGGCTGAGTGTATATGTGTGTGCAACAGACACACATATATGTATGTAGTAAGTGTGTGCAGCAGACGTACCACAGGCTGTGTTTGAAGGCCAAAGGACAACTTGTAGGAGTTGTTTTCCCCTTCTACCATGTGGGTCCCAAGGACTGAACTCAGGTCATTGGGGTTAGCAGCAAATACTTTTACCCATTGAACTATCTCAAGAGCCCCATTTTGGTTTCTACTATAATTTTCTGGTTCCTTGGAGCATGCTGGCGCTACACCAGGCATGTTGAATACTCACTCTTAACACTGTGTGGTGTAGGCACTATTATTCCCATTTTATGACTACCAGGTTCAGAGGAGTTAATTGCCTGAGATTAAACAGCCACAATTTAGCCAGAGGTGGTGGTGTGTACCTGTCGTGAAAGCAACTAGGAGGCTCAGGCAGGTAGGTTATGAGTCCCAGGCCAGCCTGGGTTACAGACAGAGACCCTATCTCAAACCAAACAAACAACCCAGCCACAGTGGAACTCAGACTATATTTGCTTCAGCTCTGCGCTTCAGTGACCCCTTTTGTAGATACCCAGCCCCCTTCCACACTGTGGGTGTGTACATGTCAGCACTACTGGAGCAAGCTGGACCAGGCAAGGGCCTCCTACTCCCTCCACATAGCTGGCATTCCCCACGCCCTGATGGCATGGTAGGTGACCCCAGGCCAGCTAGGCCCAGCCTTATATGGCAATGGGAGAAATTTCCTCTGTCTTCCCAAAGGAACCTAGAGAAGCCATGGGGCTGGGCTAGCTACCCCTTGGAGTGCCTGTGCACTGGGGATGATCTAGAGGAGGGAGGGGCTACAGTTTGAGCCTGTGATTGGCCAGGATCTTTGAACACAGGAGGATGTGAGTGTGGCAATGTTCCATGCCTGGTATTCACCATGCATCAGTTCACAGGTCCGCCCCAGTGGAATGCTCCATCACGCTTGTGAGTCAGGTGTGCAGAGAGAACCCTGAACATCCCTCTGGGGCAAGGATAATGACCCCCGTCTTAGAGATGAGGGAGTGCAGGGCTCAGCCTAGTGAAGTCACCTGCCCAGGTCACTCAGCCAAGGAAGGGGCTCAGGTGAGGTCTATCTGACTCTAGACATCATCCGTGGCCTACACTGGCCCCAGTCCACCGGTGGCTGCAGCTCTGTGGTGAACCAAGCCTCCCTTGCTTATGTAGGATAAGGATCTCTGGCTGCTGTCCCTATGTCTCGGCCCTCTTGGGTCAAATGAAGGACACTGCATTCCCTGTCCCCTTTAGGTGGCTACTGGTTATCTCAGTGCTTGCTTGCCACCTGGGAAGGAAGCTGGGAGGGCACAGGCTGGGTTACAGGGAGATCTCTGTCCTGAGTGACTGTCTCCTGCCTGTTCTCCCAGCCACATGGGACCTCTGAGACTTGACCCAGGAGACTATGCAGGTATGTCTTTTCCTGTGTCCCTGGCAGTACTGCTCTGTCCTTGCCCGTTGGCATTGAGGGCACCTGTCTCTCTTGCTCTTCCCTTAATATATTATAAAGGAGATGGTGATAAGGGTCACATGAGCCTCTGGGGATTCAATGTCCCCTGCAGGTCTGGCCAGTTGTGACCTTGCTGTGGCCATGTCACAGACAGATGGAGATGGAATTTCTGTGAGGTCTGCTTTATGTACATGGTCACTGGGGTGTTTTTCTTTAGCTGCCTGACTATTGGCAAGAACACTGTGTCCGGATAAGGTCCCAGATGAGCCCTGGGGGAATGTGAGCCTGCTGTCTTTGTGGGTGCTTGTTACAGGTTCCTGCTGCTCGCCAGGTGCCAGGCTGGGCATTTGTGGTCTGGCCTTGGTCCTTTGAGAGTTTGTGGGCTGTGTCAGAGGCCACAGGATCTTAGCATGGTGCTGCCTGTCCTTGGCACTTGCAGGGCATGAGCCACTAATCTGTTGACTGGCTTCTAGGATGGTGATAATCATCTCACCTTTTCTTTTTGTAATGGTGCTGGGGATCGAACCCAGAGCCTCATGCATTCGAGACA